TTCGATTTGTTTCGCGATCACCGCAACGTGCAACCGCATCGAAGTTTCACGACGAACTGTCCGGGAGGAACGGGTCGAGTCTCCCCACTTTGAGGCAACGCATGCGCCGGTGTGCCTGTCTGGGCGCGAAGCCCTTCCATTGGTTAGCCGTACCAACGGGTGTAACGCGGTACGACTCCTTCGACACTTTGAGTGTAACCGGCGCGTAGAGACGGTTTCTCATGCACTCTATCTCTACACCCTGAGGAGTAGCTCTCCTCCCAAAAGTGCAACGTCGCGAAGGGCTATCGCCGAAGCGTGAACCGTTTCGCGTCGCTGCACCGCGACGATTCGCACGAGCGAATCAATAGTCACTCGAACGGTATCGAGTGACTCGGGAAAAGTCACACGGACGAATCCTATGGAAGCCAGGTAAGTACGAACGGTCATTGCGTCCGTCATTAATTATATTTTTTCTTTTCAGGTACCCGGGTTCATCGAAGGAATCGTCCCAACGTAATGTAACGAAATGCATCGGCGATGCTCAAGCTTGCACCTTTTGGTGTAAATACGGTAAGTACATAAGGTAAGTATCGCGTCGACTTAATTCTATCGCGCGTACATGAAAATAATAATAATCAAATTTAAAATTGACAGGGAATATCGTATTAATAATAAAAATATGCAAAAGAAGTTAATTTGGCTCTAAGCCTCATAAAAGTGTAGAGAGAACACTAAAGTGTAGAAAAGTGTAAGTAAAATGTATGAAATTAATATCAAATGTAAAATGTAATAAGTTTTAGCCTGGAATAGCTCCATATTGGCCGTTCTTTCTCTAGTTGGTTGTAATTAATGAGATAATAATAAAATATAACGGTTTTACCCTAAAATGTATCAAAGTGTAGTAAAGTGTAACCGAGAAGTGTAGAGCTCGCGCTGGCTCGTTCCGCAGACCTATTCTAAGTCATTCGTACGGAAAGTGTAGAAAAGTGTAATGAAAGTGTAGAGTTTGCGCTCGCTCGTTCCGCAGACCTAAGACCAAGTCGTTTATACGGAAAGTGTAGAAAAGTGTAAAAGGTGTAACACCCTTTTCGTCCGTCTGTATCGTAAACGTGTTTGTTTGGTATCTGAGTTCAAAAAGTGTAACAAAGTGTAACGTTTAAAGTGTAGGTACATCAATTCCCTTCAGGATCCTCCGGATTGTTTAGAATCACGATGTAAAGTGTAAAAATGATGAATAGCGTGCAAACTAAGTTTGGATCAGGGATATTGAGTATCATTGGTAAAAAGATAACTATTGAAACTATCGCGTACGTTGTAAACTGCATTGTTGATATTTTATGTGCTCTATGGCGTGTAATACGGTTCCGAAATCGATCTTTGTGAATAAACTAGTAATAATATGCAAACCAATGAAATGGCAAAAACAATGAATATAAAAGCTAATACGATTATGCGAAATTTATCTGAATCCATTATGGATCGGTTATTAAGTCATTGGGTAAGTTTGAGGTAGGTTTTCAATGTCTTTTGTATAAATCGTCTTTATTAATCTGTGTTTTGTGTGTAACGAGTGTGTTCGCTGTGTTTATGTTCAAAGTGTACTAAGTGTAACTCGGTGGCACTTTGCCCCGTCGCAATCCACGTGTGGATACTTAAAATAAAGTCTAACATAAAGGTACTGCACTTTCGTGTGCTAAAAACTCTAAATACTAAAATAATGTTATAAAATTCTCGAACAACTCGATCAAACACTATGCGCGTTCTACGCTTGAATAAATGCAAATAAAACAAAATCAAAATATTAAAAATTATAAATCACACAATATTAAAATTAACGAAATATCAGTTTATCGACACGCATGCCTTTAGAGCTTGGTGTAGCACTGCGAGCACTGCACCTCCTCCGCTTCCATCTGCTGGCTCTCGTCCCCTGGTCTGCTCCCCGACTGCTCCCTCTGCACCTCGGTGGAAAATATCTGTGACCCAGGAGATGCCGTTTCACGTATGGGCGTAATGCCCCCTGCAAGCAGCCTCGCCACCTCCTCGTCAGCAATGCGTTCGTAATCGGGTGGCACCGATTGGTCCACCAATGACTCGGTCAAACTCTGATGAGTCTGCTGTTTTTGTTGTTCGGCACTTTCGGGTTGCCCCTGCTGCACCTTTTGCTCTCCGTGGTCCCTCTCTGCTCGCTCGGGTTCCCGGGACATGATCAGCGTCTCGGCGGAAGAATCCCGACTCGCCTGGAAAACGGGCACTTTAGTGTACGATCCCAAGGTTAGGTTGTGACCGGATCAACGAATAATGATATTAAAATCAAACACATGCCAC